AGCCGCTGCGGCTGCCTCGCTGAGTGCGGGAGCTCCGCTTTCCTCCCCTGTCTGCGCTCTCTGGCTTCGCGGGGGGTAGAACAAGGCTAAATGGCTGCAATTCACGTGTGGTGGTTTTGAGAGGGGTTTGAACGTGGCATGGCCGGGCCGCTGGAGCGTCTGAGGGGGATCCCCGCCCTCGGACGCCTGCCTGGGCTTCCTCCGCGCAGGTCTCTGTGAGGTGGCCGGTGGTTTGCTCACCAAGGGCAAGAGCAGCTCCGGCCCCTTCCAGGTCCTGCCAGAGGCCCTCACACCTCCACTTCGCAAGACAGCACCCACCAGCCCAGGGTGAGGGTGCTGCATCCCTGTTGGGTGCCTTGAGCCACTGTGGTTTTGTGTGGTGTCAAGTCCTTGGAGGCACCAAAGAAGGCTATGTCCAGGGCTAAAATTTATTGGATGTGTTTTTGGGGACCACATGTGTTCAAGGACTGAAGTTTGTTGTGTGCACATCCCTGCTAGGCTTTGCGTATTAGCTTTTATGGCTGTTTTTTAATTTAAATTATCTAGAAAGGAGGTGAAAATAACTGTAAAGTTTTGTACTAAAATACACAACCTGCTTGTCATTGCTTCCACACTTCAGTCACCTTTTGGCGTTTCTCCCAACTTCGTTAGGACTCAAAGGCCGTTGCTGCTGATGCACAGCAGAGTTAATGCCTAATGTGTGGCTCCTGCATGGTAATCTTTGGCCTTCAGGGGTTGTATTTCCTTACAACTTGGATTGGTAAGGGATGTGCTGACATTTGGCAATCCACTTGTCACCCTCTTCCCAAATTCCCTGTGTAATGAGTCCGGTGTGCTGTGTAATCTTATGTTAAAGGGAAAAAAAAAACCCAAACTTTTAAATATTTTTTTGTAAAGATCAGTGTCTGTGTATACAGAACGTAAGAAATATCAGGCAGCTGTTGAGAAGTTGCTTTTGACAAAGGTAAACACTGATTATTCATAAAATGTTTATTTGGATCTAATGTCCCACTCAATAGAGTTAGGGAGCTATGATAAATGAAAGAAGCAGAGTAAGATCTGTTTAAGTAAACAGTGAAGTTGCTGTAAGTATCTTTGCTTGATCTCATCCCCTTCATTGATAACCTTCCTGTAGCCCAGGTTCAGGCTAATTTTAAATTTCTCGGTAGGCAGGGAAGGTACTCCTCCTTCCTTTTCTACTTTCACACCTAGCTATCAATCTGCAAGAATGAATTTACTCTGACAGCCATTTCCTACCAGTTTTGATACCTTCCCTTTTAATTCTACCAAACCAAGCACAGCTCTAAGAAAATTTCCAGAGGAAGAAACTCCAAAGACAGAGGGTTTTTTTTTTCGTGCTGTGTCCATAACCGCTCCATGTCCAGTCAGGTTGCCATCAATCCTGGTGGCTGCCTTAACTCCCTAATGTTGGCTAAGGGCATATTCAGTTGCTCTGTTCCTTTGTTTTGTGAACTAGTGAAACAAGATATTTGGGTGCATTTTAAAATTTGTATTAAAGGCACTATATCCAAAGAGACATAAACAGGAATTTGGATAGAATATTCTTGCTTTGCAGGTACAGCTGCAGCAGCAAATATGCTCCCTGCAAAGACGTTCCCAGCACAGCAAAGCGTGGGAGATGCTGACATTGCCATTCTAAGGCTGAAGACAGTCCCATCTCTCCTGCCTGGTGAGTCTCTGCCGTTCTTGTAAGCACTTTGTGGTCCTTTTTGCTAGTCAAAAGCATGGTGACTGGTGGTGAAGGCAAACCACCATGAATCAGAAGGTTTATGGAATGGTGTTAATGGTTCTTACGAGATTTGGTGAGCGTGTAACAATGCCAAATCATAGGAACTGTTTTTTGCAATTTGTCTTATCATAAACTCCTCAGAAATTGACGAGCCTTTTTCTTTTCAGAGATTCTGCCCACGTGAGTTAGTTATGTAGGAATGGGGTCAGAATGAGTGAACGGTCATGTAAAGCACAGAAGTGTTTGAAGAAGGTTATGCTGGGGAAGAGCAGCTAATGCAGGCAATGAGAATTTGCTTTACGGTCCCCTCCATTACAAATCAGTCGTCTGATTGGTTGTGAAATTAAGTGTCGTGCGAAAGAAGCCCCAGGGGAAAAGAAAACTAGTTTTCTGGGCTGTTTTGGGGTTGGTTGGTATGTTTGGGGAATTTTTTTTCTGCTGCAGTGGAGCTGCATTATTTATTCTGTTAAAGTGTTCTCACTGAGACTGAAACCAGGAAAGTTAAGGAGAAATTTAAGAATGCAAAAAAAGTCAATCTCAGTTCAGAGTTTAGGAAGAGGTCAGAGAAGAAGAAAGTCAGTGGAAATATTCCCAGTGCATATAGCTGGGGCTATGCTGCAGGTTTGTTGCAGCCCCAATTACAATGAAAGTCCCAGAAGACTCTTCACTAAAACGTTATGTGACTTTGACATTGTTCAAATCCTTTCCATCCAAGTGTTGTTGGGAAACACCCTTTACTTACTTACACAGAGAGCTAAGAGGAGGCCATAGGGGTTTCATGAGGAGGTAGATAACTCAACATGAATTGGTGAATAGTGTGTGAAATATTATCTGAAATGGGATTTGGGAAAAGCTAATGGGATGGTAAGTTCCCATCTGCAAAAAGGCAGTTTTTTCCTCTGTCCTCCAGCTGATACTAAAACATGGAGCCTGTGGTCCAACTACTGATATCTTTGTTCAGTTTTCCATTTTCTCTCGATAATCCTGTGTGCTCATTGTAATATCAGTTTTTGTTTGAAGTCTATTCTAACTTATTCTGGCCTGTAGTTGTAAATGACAAATCTAACATCTCTGCGGAGCCAGACAGGTAATTAATCATGAGCATGTAGATACCCAGCTAAGACATCTTATGATCTTAGTTTAACTTTCAAGTCAGTGTCAGATGGGGGATTCAGAGGAATAGTGCCAACTTTAAAAAAAACTGGTTTAATTCGGGAAACATCATAAGATCAAATAACACAGGGTTGAAAAACTAAAATAGAACAAGTTTTTTAAAAAAATCAAAAATTAGTTTATTAGAATTGTGTGTTCAGCACTTGTGAATGGTCATTTTTACCATTTCTGCTGTGAGTTTAGCCAGTTTCCCCTATTGAAAAAGTTCCTTGTAAATACAGCAAAATGCATTGCTTGGGATAAAGAAAACCTTACACAATAAGAGATACCAATATTTTTTAATTTAAGGCATTTAAAAGCTAGAATAAGATAATGTATGTAGCTGTTTAGCAGATATAAATAACAGCTGCAAATAACATGTCTTCAATTTAGCTGTAGTTTTGCTAATGGAAAACAGAAAATTGGAGAACATTGTTCAGAAAGAAAAAAATTAACTGAGACTTTCCAGGGGCATAGTTAAGAAACAAAACTTAGTCACAAAGATGCCAGCACAAATATTTGTTGCTTTTTATAGAATAATTGTTATTATCCCTGTATGTGTTTACTCACTATTTAAAAGATCAAGATAATTTGTGTGAATAATACCCAATTACCTTGTATGGACTAAGATAATTTTATATTAGGTAATAAAAGAAGGATTGTGCGGGGAGACAGAAATCCTCTGCCATTGCACCAGTGCTCTCCTCGTCCCAGCCCGTCTCTGCGGGTTGCTCATTAGTGGATGCCTTAGAATTTCAGGTAAGCTGTGTAAGTTTGGGGTTTTTGTGTTGGTTAGTTGTTGGGTTTGGGTTTATTTTTTTTGTTTTCCCCTCCCTAACAGTTTAATTACCTGTGAGTGTTCCTTGAAGGAACTTTTCAGCTGTAGATTGGAATATTTATTTTCTCACATTTATTTTCTTTCTTCGTTATCTGTATGATCATAAATATCATGCATTATTATTGTAATGTTCAAGCCTTGCATATCATGTTTGCAGTGCATCGTTCTTTGCTCATTCACTGTTGTTTATTTAAAATTTTAACTAAAATTCTTTCTTCTGTTGCTGTGAAAACTTTTTTACTTTGAGGTAGGTGGTTTGAACTGTCATGATTCCCAGTTCAGAGTGGAGATGATAGGGTGAAAACACTAGCTGTTCCTGCATTAATACCAATACTATGAAGAACTTCTTAAAGTTACAGTGTGAATATTTATACTTTCCAACTGTAGTTATTGAAAAAACGTATGTATTCTTTCAGTCTTTATTTGATTATCCAAGATGTTTGCAAAAGCAACAAAGAATTTTGTGAGAGAAACTGACAGTGGAGGTGACTTGATCCCTGTCTCCCACTTGAACACCTCAGACAAGCTGCAGCTTCTGAGCTTGGTTACGAAGAGGAAGAAATTCTGGTGCTGGCAGAAGCCCAAGTATCACTTTTTGACAGTCACCCTGAGCGATGTGCTTACTGAAGACAAACCGATAAAACCAGGTAAAGTCATACTCAGGCAGCGCTATTATTGCAGATAAAAAGAATGCAAAACCTATTCTTTTTTGTTACTATTCTCAATTGTGTTACTAGGGGGCTCCTTTCAGAGGAGGGCTCCGTCCGTGGAAATGAGATGACTGGATCTTTTCTCACTTGACTACTTGTTTAACTAAAACCAGTAATAATAAATGTTTGTTGGAAAAAAAAAAAGTTTTGCCTAGATAGCCAACTGAAATTGAGTGGTGAAGGTTGTCAAGCTGTGCAGGCCTAGTGTTTAGTAACAGTGCTGTCTGCAGCCACAGGAGCTCCCCTAACGTATTTTTGGGGGATTCCAGTATGTGGTAGTAGCGTGAAACTATACTGTGCTCCAGGTCAAAAAGCACTGGATAAACAGTGTCTCGTTGGTGACAGTAGCTGAGGGAATGCTTGCACAGGCAAGGCCAGGCAAGTTTTACCACTACTTCCTTTCTTCTTGCACAGGCTATTAAAAATGGTTGACCCTTGTACTCTCTTCATCCAGTTGCAGCAGTCCTAATCAGGCTTTAGGATGAATGATCTAGAATCCCATATTTCTGGGCATGTCACAATTTCACACAGGAAAATAAATGAGTCCCTAAGTCTAGACGTTAATTGTAGCTGGCTTGGAAGATTAGCTGATTCTGAGTCAGTTCTTTGATTCAGAGTTGTTTTAAGTCAGTTAGATACTTCTGTTGGTTTTCAGTAAGCTTTGGGACAGCCCTATAATGAGATATGTCAAGATAATGGCAAAATACTAACCCTATTGTACAAGCAGATCTGCTTTGGAGTTTTTCTTTGTAACTAAAATAAGTTTCAATCATTCTTTGTAAATTTTCTGTAGCATCTGAGCTCAGCGTTTCGTTCACCGTATGCTTTCCTAAAATGGCAAAATATAAAAGATAGTGGAGTGAAGATGATGAAAATACAGAGAAAGCAGAAGTAAGGAGTTGCAGAGCTGTAAATTTCATTATTTAGCTGCTCGATAGTGTTCCTTGCCTTCACTAACTTGTCATATTTTCTGTAAGTTTCTGTTTTTCCAGTCACTTCGGGACTGTTTCAGAACTTCTTTTCACAGGTAGAAATTACTTTTATTGCTTTCCTAGTAATTGTGGAGTCTGACTTTGCAAAATATATGGGGAAGTTTGGAGATTTTGTTCAAGGACGTATTGAAACTTCATTTGGAAAGATCAGCCTGGGAGCTGGAGGGAAGGGCTATGTGGAAAACCAGTCCTCCTTTGGAAACCTGAGGAAGCAGGAGATTGACTTGCAGCAGCTTATGAAAGATGTCAAGGACAGGTATGTTTTTAATGTGGGCATTGTAATGGCTGGGAAAGATTACTGAGCTGAAAAGGCTTGGGCCAACTGTCATCACTGAACAATTGATTCTGTAGTGTTGCCATAGTTTGAGAATTATTTTTATTGTAAGCTCTCATTGTCAGGTAACAAATCATATGTACAAAAATGAAAATTTCCAGATTTTGAAAGCTTGATGGTCAAACTTTTCCCTTTCATTTAAAAAACATCTCTGCATTTTCATCTTACATATTTGCATGAATTACTCATGGAACACGAGCCAAATCCTCCCTTCTTTGGGAACTGTACTGAGGTAACAATCTGGAAAAAAAAAAAAAAAGGATTGGTTTCTCTGTGTGTTACTGGGGCAAATGCTATGGAAACTGAATTCAGAACTACTAATGTTCTTGTAAGCAGGCTTTATGATTTTGTGTGTGTGTGAGTGACTGTGCTAGAAAATTGGATTAGTTGAAGTTGAAGGAATAGCAAAGGAGAGCAAGCATGGTCAATGCAAGTTCTACTAGTTGAACAAAATATACTTTGTAGAACTTTTGCTCACTGTTATACACTGTAATCGCTGAGGGGAACTATAATCTTAATTTTACAAGATATGCAGCGCTTCCTGTCCTACTCTGAAACTGGATTTATTTAATCTTGCAATAAGACAGTCATGGACCAAAGCCTACTTGGCAACCAGCTGACAAGTCAGGGGTCTGCTCTGTATTGCAGGTCCTGACTTGGGGGAGATGAGGGTGGTTCGTTTGTGACAGTGTTATACTGTAGATCTGTAGCAGGTGGTGTAATGCATTTTAATAGCCTTTGCTGATGCTCTGATGATAAAGATGATAGATTTTTGTTATCAGTGCAAAAGTTGTCAGAAGCCGTGTAAATTTTGCTTTAGATATGCTGATGTTCTAGAAATAATCAATTCTCCATTTTCACAAGAACAAATGGCTACTCTTCTTTTTATTGTGAGCATTTACAAGTCAACGAACTTATTAGAATAAGGCACCTTGCTATCTTTGTACTAAATGCCTTATTGAAAGCAGAAAATACTGGGCTAAATGTGTGTACCCAGATGTAAAAATTAGTATGCATCTAGTGTGACAAAAATAGTGTCAGTCAAGATTTAGAATCTTGTTTCTAACACTTGTTAGAGTCCTATAGAAAAACAAACTAGAGTAACTTCTGTTTAGATCAGTAAGCTTGTACTTAGTTTTTCTGCACTAAGTTACCTACTGTGTTCAAACAAATAATCGTCCCAGAGCAAATCAGATTTACTTCAGCACATCTTGGAGTGATAATCCTGAACGTAACTAAATACTTAGAAATATATTATCTTCTTTTAAGTGTGGAAAATCAGTAGCTCTACTGATCTGAATATAACTGTAAATGAGGTTAATGTGTCTGATGCTTTATACAAGGAGGTAGTTCTTAGTTCATCGAAAAGATGCTCATAGCTTATTAAGGCTTATGATGCAAGGTATTTAATTGATATCAAGTCAGTCTGGCTTCTGCCAGGTCACTGAAAATGATGAGAATAGCACAATTTTCAATTTTAATTGATATCAAGTCAGTCTGGCTTCTGCCAGGTCACTGAAGATGTTGAGGATAGCACAATTTTAATTTATCTTTTTTTTTTCTTCAGCATAATGCCAGTACTCACTGGAAACTGTGGCAATGCCTTACAAATGAAATCCCAGTCACTCATTCATAAATATTCTATGATTTATGAGGGATTGTATCCAAGCTTCTACTCTCATGGAGTGTTGTGTGGAATTCAGGAATTCAGCATTTAGGAGTGCTGGTGCCTACAAGTTAGGGATTTTTGGATGCAAAGCATTATGGTACGAGGAGGATGTTTACCTGTTAGTCCTTGTGAGATGAGAGTCAAATAAGTGTTCTTGATTTCATCTAATGACATACATTGCTTGTGCTTGTTTGATCAATTATTGTTTCATTTATGATTTCTACATATATAGCCTAATTAAGTTGCATTTCAAAACGTTGGTTTTGTATTAGGCTGTTTAAGTCAAAGTTGTAGAAAACTCTGAAAAAAAGTCAAAGCTGATACGCTTTCTAAACTAAATCATGTGAGTCTTCAGGGTTCAGCAAGCTGGAAGTTCTGAGTGGCAGCAAATTGGTTTCCTGTCACTACTTATGTGAGTCTTTTCTGAAGGAGAATCCTACTGATCTTTTAACTAGATTCCAGATGCCGCACTGGCTCCGCTTTTCTGGAAAGGGCTGACAGCTGAAGGATGCGGGTTGAGATCCTTCCTGATTTGCAGAAACAATGACATTATAAATGCAGGACACGCTTAACATAATATGCAATATAAAAATAAAGTTAAGTGGTACTTTTAGGTATATAAACTCATCATATTTTATTTAACATTATTCTTGTTTTTCCTATTACATTGTGCGTGCTAATTCAGAGGGTACTATAACATACCGACTTCAGGTCAGAGTCCTGTGCCTTTAACTCAGTGAGATTGCTATGGATTTAAGAGTATATTCCATCTTCTATTTTAAGGCTTTCAGTACTGTCTGCCGTAAGATCCTCATAGAGAAGCTGATGAAGTATGGGCTGGACGAGCAGACAGTGAGGTGATTTGAGAACTGACTGAATGACTGGGCACAGAGGGTATTGATCAGTGGTAGGAAGTCAAGTTGGAGGCCAGTGACTAATGGTGTACTCCAGGGGACAGTACTGGGTCCAGTCCTATTTAGCATCTTCATGAGTCATCTGGGTGATGAGGTCGATGAGCTCAAACTTTAGCAAGTTTGCTGATGACGCAAAACTGGGAAGAGTGGGTGATAACACCCAGAGGGTCGTGCTGCCATCCAGAGGGACCTCAAGGGGCTGCTCTGCTGGGAACCTCACGCAGCTCAACAACAGGAGCTGCAAAGTTCTGCACGTGGAACAGCCCCGGGCACCTGTACATGCTGGGGGCTGACCAGCTGGAAAACAGCTTTGCAGAGAGGGACCTGGGGGTCCTGGTGGACACCAAGTTGGACATGAGCCAGCAATGTGCCCTTGCTGCAAAGAAGGCCAGTGGTAGCCAGTACTGCATGAGGAGGAGCATTGCTAGCAGGCTGGGAGAGATGATCCTTCACCTCTGCTCTGCACTGGGGAGGCCACACCTGGAGTGCTGTGTATGGTTCTGGGCTCCCCAGTACAAGGGAGAGATGGACATACTAGAGAGAGTTCATTGAAGGGCCACGGTGACGATGAAGCGACTGGAGCACCTCACATTTGTGGAGGGGCTGAGAGAAATGCGCCTGCTCAACCTGGAGAAGAGAAGGCTCGGGGGGAATCTTATTAATATATATACATACCTGAAGAACAGATGCAAAGAGGACAAAGCCAGCCTCTTTTCAGTGGTGCCCAGTGACAGAACAGGAGGCAGTGGATACAAACTGAAACACAGGAGGCTCTGTCTGAACATCAGGAAACACTTTCATTGTGCAGATGACCAAGGACTGGCACAGGTTGCCCAGGGAGGTTGTGGAGTCTCCCTCCTTTGCGACATGACCCTAGGCAGCCTGCTCTAGGTGGCCCTGCTTGAGCAGGGGGGTTGGACCAGATGACCTTCCAACCTCAACCATTCTGTGTTCTCTCTAGTGAAAAGGATTATGAGGAGGTTATAATCTCTGTAGTTCTCGTGGATTAACAAGTTCACTTGTTTGTTTTCACCATTTCACCAAGTTGTGTTAAGTGATTGAAACAGAAGTTCTGAGAGGACAGTGACAGCAGAAAGAAAGGAATAGGGCCAAGTGCAGCAGTGCACCAGTTCACATCAGCTGCAGAAAAGTTTGCCTGTCACACTTCCATCATTTCATGTGAATGATTCCTAACTCTAGGATTAGCATATTAGAAAAACAGGGTAAGCATTATTAGTAGTATACACTGGCGTGATTGGAAGATGTTTTTACGCTATCGTACACTTCAATATGCACTTCCATTGATTCAACTATCATCCACACTGAGACAAAAATAGGTGCCTATTCATAATCAGAGTATAGTAGAAATTCAGCCCATTTTGTTACTTACTCTTTAAAAAGTCCTTGAGCATTTATGCATGTGATGAGAAAACGGTTCCGTTTTCTAGCAAAGATGCTACATGGGTAATATGAAGTCACAGAATGTTATGAGACAGGATTGAATAAAATCAGTTGTGTGTGTCTGTGATTTAAAAAGTAGGGAAGATGCCCAATAGAAAATAGAGGAATTGTCTGTCACTTGCACTCTCAAAAGTCTCTTGGAAGACGTTCCATGAAGTAATTGTCAGGTTATTCTGTAGGGAGAATTGTGAAATGCTATCAATAAGCTGACTATAGCAGGTACTGTGTTGTGGTATGACTGTAAGAAGTAGATCAGAGAGGTTGTATTTGAAATGGATTAACAAAAGGAATATTATGCATCTGTGCTTGGTGGAAAGTGGCAGTGAGATCTGGTGGATTTTACTCCATGGCAGTCATCTAGAGGTCTCTGTTAGAGAAGGAACAAAGCTGGGTGAAGGCTCTCGCTGTGCAGCGAGCAGCATTTGTACAGAAGACGTCACACTATTGCGCATTGTAAATGGAGAAGACTGAACAAGCTGAGGAATTCTGACTGAGCAGTGAGAGGTTTTGAAGTCAGTCGTGGATGTTATGGAAGAAGTTGCATGGGGCGAGGCTGTGAGCGTGGGCCACCCATATCTCTACAGCTGGGAGAGGAGGTGTGTAGGGGTGATGTTGCCCAGTGCAGGACTGAAAAGGTTTTTCACTCCTGGGTAGTTTGGACTAGTGAAAATTTGTACAGGCAGGCAACAGTGCTGACTTCAATGTGAGGATGGAGAGTGCTCACAGCAGTAACCATTCTTTTTGGTATTCGTAGTAAATTGGCAAGCACCTTACTCTGAGGATTTGTGGGGTGAGTTACTGAGAAGACTAGAGAGGATTTGTTGGAAAAATGGTCCTAGTCCCCCTCCTTTGTGGATGGTCCCGTCAGAGATTCTGTGCCTGAAGGAAAGACCCCGAGTCTCAGCTGTGGGGTTTAGAGCAGGCCCCTGCTCTCTCTTTTAACTGTGAGAGCCTGCTCTGCTGCCAGTTGGTGTCTGTTTTCTCTTGCCTTTCCTTGGTTTCTGCCTTTCTCCCTTCTTTTCTGCTTCCAGTCTGCAGCAAATTGCCTTTGTACCTCTCTATTTTCCGCTGCTTTCTTCATGCAAGAAGAAAAAGGTTGAATAAAAGTGAAAGAAGCCTTTGCATTGTAGGAGAGTGAAAGTGTTTAATCCAATTAAATGTGGAGAGAGTGAGACCAAAACTCAGAGAAATTCTTTTCTGTTCATATTTGACCTATAGAACTTCTAACATAGTAAATCATTGACCTTAGGAAGGTTATTTGAGCAGAGCAAACAATCAAACAAAAAACCATAATCCTTATCTTTTAAATGATCTTTATACAGGCTCATACTCTGTATGTTGATAATGGGACTTAACAAACCAACATCTCATTGTATAGTATATAGTGTTACTTTCGGGTTCTTTGGCTCAGCTTCTCCAGGTGGGAAGGAGTACAGTGATGTAGTACAGGTGACACAAGAGTGGTGAGGGTTCCTGTAGAATAGATAGTGAAAGAGATGGTAAGACATGGTTGTACAACAGAAATAAAAGGTCTGAAACATGGCCTGTAAAATACAAAAATGCAATGCTGTTCTTGTGCCTGCATGCATGTACTCTCAGGGATTTAACTCAGCCATCTCTTGTTATTCAGCTACATTCTTGATATTCAGAGTGTCATGTGAGCAAATGAGTTCAGCTCTTGCAAAAATACACTGATAGATTCAGCGGCTGTTGCCCTCCTCTGATTATCAAACTTTAACTTTGTTGCATTTTGCTCTTGATGACTATTTTCAGTGATAATTTAGATAAGCTGGGTATTTGCTTACTTCACGTTGTCTCCTGTTCAAGTCGATGAGAAGAGCAGAATGTTTTGCCTCCCGCAGGCTGCACCCCAGTAATAACTTGTGACATGCCCGCAACCCTGGAGTCGAAGGGATTTTATGATAGAAAGTTCAGTGCCAGAAGTCTACAGGAGCGCATTTAGCTGTGCTGTCCTATAAGAAAAGTGATTTGTAGCTGTTGGTAAGGGTATGCGTTTTAAAACTCTGAATCCGGTACTTGCTAATCTTAGTGAGGAGAGCATTTCTGCCAGCTTTACAGTTGAACACATCCCACTGAAGTCACTTGAATCTTGGGACTGAGGCAGTGGCTGTGTCTCTGCCACACAACACAGCTCTGTGCAGAGGACCCCAAGTTACCCCCAAGGCACAGTGCCTGCGGGAGTGCCGCATCGGGGACCGAAGCGGGTAGCTCTGTGCCCCCGTGGTGTTAGACTCGCTCCTTAGCTTCCACTGCTGCGGCAGCTCATCCAGTGCTGCCTCGGAAATTTCTTTGCTGCACCTCTTTGCAAGCTTACCTATGTCTTCTGACGCTTTCGCTCTGCCACTCTGCTGTTAGTTCTGCATCTAAACCTCAAAGCCAGGAGCATGAGGGTGTTTGAGCCAGTCCCATCTCAGGCAGAATACTGTACAAGTAGATGGAGGAAAAAGTCTCTTCAATTGTTTTGGTCATTCATTTCTACAGAGTTAAATCATATTCTGTAGGCTTCTTATATTAACGCTCATTCAGAAACAGCAATTCTCTATTTAATCTGTATTTTTCTACCTTTGATTGTTTTGTTTCTTTTGCTGTAGCTGTTGGGGCTATTTGGTGAGTTTAATCATCCCCTAAAACAGGCAAAAAATACATCATATCAAAGCAAATGACAAATTGCTTTTTGTGCTTCTTCATTGTGTTTCTTTCCCTGCGGCTTCTAAGGTCGAATGTTAAACTTGCAAGTTCTTAGTGCATTAATTTGTATTTTCAAGATGCTTAGCACACCTCTTCAGAATCATAAATAATTATTGTCAAGTATATGATAGGCTTGATGGTCTGTTATTGTGATAACTAATAGCTCTCGTTTGGCAGAGACTTCTAAAAGCAGCGGTGTTTGTGGTTGCTTGACATTTCTTCAATTTTTGCTTAATCCAAAGATTCATTGCATTCCAAGCATAAAGCGTGGCTTTGTACCAAAAGAAAAAAGTTATATTAATAATCTCAGGAATGTTTGGGGGTGCTTTTCTAGTGGCTGCTACATTTCTTCAGAGGTATTTTCTTTCCCTTGTTTAAACAATCAACTTTAAGGTTTCCAGACAGTTCATTCCAACTGATTGAACTTTCATATAAGCATGTAACCCTCCAAAGATCAAAAATTGCCTCAGGATATTCTTAATTTAATAAAGAACCAAGCTGACTTCAGACTTGGTTCAGACTGCATAAATCCAAAACTCCAGAATCTAATAAATCTAAAACTTTTTAATTAAAAGTGGAGATATCTCAGTTTAAATAAAGCGGAGTCAGACATGTCTTTCTGTCGTATTTTTGGGGAATTGCCATTTAGCCCCATGAATAGCCATTTACAGTAAAAGGGAGGAGAAAAGACTGAATAACTTGAGCCAGGGATAGCCATCTTTTAATCTTCCAGCCGTCTTGCTGGAGTTAACTGTTCATAGGCAATACGACATCTCATCTCAGGACCTCCAGTGAGTATTTTGCAAAAGTGTAATGTAATTGACACATTTTAATAAATTAAATACAGTTAAGAAGTTGCTTTAACTATTACCATAAAGTCTGTTAACACCCCAGAAGACAAGGTAGTGAATTTTGTCATCTTTTCTTAGAAAATAATCCTCTTGTATTGTTTCTGGGAGTTCCCTTTCTTTCTTCTGCTCATTCTGAGATGAACCTAACTTTAGAAATACGTCCAGCAGCATTTAAACGTACACTGAATTATGTGGTGGAGTAGGGGTGACTTGTTAAGTTGGAGGCACGGGCTAGAGGTTTGAGGTCCGTCCCACAGTTAATTTTTCTTTTGACTGTGACAGTCCTGGTAATTAATAGTAAATTGTGACGTTATACCGATCAATAACACAGGAGTTTATAGTGGGTGTTTTTTTCAGTAATCTTCTCCAGTCCCACAATCCATGAAATCTTTTCTATGTTTTCTCATCCAGCCCTTTGAAGTACTTGGTCACTGCTGATCCCGCTCAGCCAGGTCAGGGTTTAAGTGAACACTGAAAGAGATCCATAGCAAGCGCTGAGGGGTGGCGTTGAGGCGGCACTCTCTTAGTGTGCTCTTCGTCCCTCAAGGAGAAATTCTGGTGGCTCAGAATTTGGCAGCAGCATATCAGGGCACTCCTTTGCCTGCACATGGGCCTTCAGGGGCCAAACCAGCATTCCTCGTGGTGGTCGCCTCAAGCTGTCCTAGTCCAGGGTGAGTCTGGACATCAGCACTTGGGAACAAAAGTGCCTGTGTCACCTCCCCTATTGAGAAGCACCTGATGGCTCACCTGTGGCAGGTGGAAGGATGTACAAAGACAGGAGTGATGGGACTGAATGGTGACAAGGAGATAAATGAGACCGAGTTTGGCCATATGGCTGGAAAGTGGTAACAGTGAACTGTGAGAAGGAGGGGAGGCTACGGCTGGGAGCCATCAACAGCTGCTGTCATCTGAGGGTAGGAGATAGCAGAGAAGTCACATGAAGTGGGGCTGGTGACATGACTGGCTGTGGGACAAAGCCAAGATGAGATGAAGGAGGAGGGGGAAGAAATGAGACTTGATCTGATCTGGTAAGAGAGAGAAGACTGAGAACTGTTGTAAGGAAAAATGGGGCTTGATTTACAAAGAGAGAAGCTGACCATACTGGAAGATTGCTTGCTGTGTATTTCCTAATGTCCAGTAGCTTGACTGCAGCTTCACTCTTTCTAAGCAGAGCTTTGTGATGTATGAATAATACTATTGTTTTACATGCTTATTATGTATTATGCCCTTATAGCTATTCTTAATGTGTGTGTACATGCATAATGTATGCAGTAGTGTGCTAGGCTGCAGGGAGTTCATAATATGGAGCGTGAGCATAGGTCTTTTGTTTGTACTCCCTGCAAACTGTTTTAGTTGAAATAATTCTTTTGAGTAAGGGCTGCAGGATGTGACCCATTGCCTTACTGACACTGCTTGTGCTAACGTGAGACTTTGAAGAGAATGGTTAGCAGCCATCCCCTACCATGGCCATGTTAACATCAGGGTGAGTTCACGGTAGCAGAGGATTCAGCCCAGTGTCCATGAGCATGGCTGGTGATTTTCGTGTTACACTGAAAGCTTAAAGTCATCTTTAGTTCTCCCTTGCTTTTTTTGCTAAGGTAGTAGCCAGACAACTGCCATTTTTGCTCAGAGTGAGGAATCGAGAATTCAGTACATGTGTTGGGACTTACTGTGGAATACAGATATTTACTGCTACCAAATAACAAAAGAGGACATCATAATTTTGAGGAGACTGCTCATACAGAAACGATTGTTATTTTTACAATAAAAGCTTCTTCAAGCAATTAAGAAAATGTTTTTTCTCGATTCTAGTATTATGTTGTTAATGTCATCTTTTCTTTTTCAGAACGATAAATCTAAACAGTAGTTTACTGCAACAAGTAATAGAAAGAAAACGTGAAGTACTGTGCATCTTGAGAGAAAAGATAATAACGACTCAGAAGTGCACAATATCTGAACATATCCAGACAGAAGAAAAAATCAGCGGTGTGATGGGATGCAGTACAAAAATAGTAAAGGTAAAAGTTATTAAAAACCTGCAAGGAATAGAACATTTGCAGATTTTCTGAGAAGAAATTATGATTTCTCCAAATAGACTTCAGGGTATTTTTCGTGCTTCCTTAACGTGTTGAACTCACTGCACGTGTTGAACTCTGAAGTTGTGAAACTTCAGAAAGGTAAAATGTTTTTTTCCATTGTCTCACTAGCAAAAGATGCCATCTTTTTGTGTGATCCTGGAATGTGGTTTCCGTCAATTCTGTCAGATTGTGATTCAGTTTCTATGTAGATTCCTGCCTGCAGCAGAACATAAACCAAACATATAACAGTTCATGAAAGCTGAAGAGCAAAAAGCATTGCTGAAGCAAACTTATTTGAAAAACCAAGTAATCATTCATCAAAAATGTTTGCAGTGTCTACTGAATTTTAATATTTATTGAGAAGCTAGTTGTTTTCGATCATGGGAGTAGAGATTAACTGCGTTATAAGGATATCTGAAAAATTGCCTATGAATTGAGGAGGAATTACCAAAGTCAAAACATATGCTCATTCATTGCAAGTTTTTTTTAAAGCTGCAGATGAATCACTGCTGTGTACGGGGTGTCTCTAGTAGCAGAAGTCTGGGAGTTGTAGTTCAACAACCCTCTGTGCAAGTGTCACCTTCCTGGTACCAGTCTCCCGCTGGGCAAAAGGGGTGTCAGGATAGAAGAGGGCAGGGCAGGATACTGGAGTGGGTGCCCATTTCCTAGTGGCACGGTGTTTCATTGTGGCTAAAGCTGCACCTGGAGCTCAACTTTGTAGTAGGACAGGGTAGCTAAGAGTTTGAGAGCTGCTCTTGGCATTGTGCTTCTACCTTGCTGCTTATCTAGTTCCTTTCGTAGATGTCAAATGTAACGTGTGCTTTAGTTAGACATCATGGAGAATGAAGCACATTCTTTTTCTGTATTTTTTCCCCTTAATTAATTATGTGTTTAAGCTACACAATAGCTGAATCAGATAAATGGTGAATAAATCTGTCCTCTAGGTTTCAGTGGGTGAAAGTGGAAGTATGATGAAGGATTCTAGTGTGATCCTTGAAATTCCTCCTGCAACTACTATTGCCTACGGTGTAATTGAACTGTTTATAAAGCACAGTGGCCAGTTTGGTAAGTATAAAACTCATTTTCTGTGGCACGCAGTTCAGCTGTGGACAGAGCTGTCTGTTGGGCAATGATTTTTGCATTTCCCGGTGTATGAAGGTGATGACGTTGTATGGTCTTCATTGCCTTGGTAGTTATTTGTGCTGTGAAATGCCACTCTTTTGATTTAGTAATGCTTTTTCACTTGTTTGAATAAATCATAAACTCAGATTAACTTAGATTTCAGGGGACCGCAGGAGGTCATGGAGCTCAAGCCCTACCTCAAGGCAGGGCCAGTTTTTGAAGTTTGACCGAAGTTCAGAGTTTGATCAGATTGCTTGTGTCCTTGTCTATTCAAGTTTTGATTATCTCCAGAGACAGAGATTCCATCACCCCTCTGGGCAGCCTCTTCTCATGTTTGACCACCATCATGGTGAACTTTTTCTTTTCCTTAATATCTAATGAGAATTTCCCTTTCTCTAATTTGTGTCTCTTACCTTTTGTCCCATCGTCATATGGAAGAGTCTGGCTCTGTCTTCTCTTCGTGCTTCCATTGGGTAGTTGTAGGTAGCAGTAACATTCTCCCTTAGCAATATTTTCTCCAGGCTGAACAAACCCAGTCTCTTAGCCTCCTCTCATATATGATGTTCTCCAGCCCCCAGCCATCTTAGTGGATGTTTGCTAGATTGCTCCGATGTGTGAATGTCTGTCTTGTACTGGGGAGCCCAAAACTGGACACAGCACTCTGAATGCAGTCTCCCAAATTGAAAAATCACTTTCATTGATCTGTTAGCTACAGTCTTGTCAGTACAGCCCAGTATGCAGCAAGCTTCAGTAGCTGCAAGGGCACGCTGCTGATCCTCTCGAATTTTGCTTCTAGCTAGCTGGCTGCAATTTTGCTTCTAGCTAGCTGACCCTCAGCCCAAGCTATTGCCTTCACCTGTTGGCAGGGAGGGTGAACTGAATATAAATTGGCGGTCAATCAGGAACATTTAGACAACTGTCATGCTAAGAAAAGAATTATTCATAAAGTATAGGACTGAAATTTAAACTTTCCTGTCTATTTTACACTTTCATATATAGATTGTTCTCAGAATTGTTGCAGAAATGTCCTTGTGTTTTCTGGCTGTGCTTTACTTATTTCAGATTGAATACTTTCAGGTGTTAAGTTTAAAAAAATGTTGAAATTGGCTTTGCGGGGAGTAGTAACTCTGCTCTGCAGAATCACTTGGATTTTTCTTTTTTGTCTGTCCTCAGTTAAACTCCCTGACCTAAAGGAGTGTTCAGGGGATGTTACGCAAGAAGGAAGGAAATCAGATGGACTGTGTAGAGCTGGAAGTTGGAAAGGACTGATGTGGAGAGTAACGGGAGATACATTGAATAAATAATTGAAGTGTAGTTGAGATTTGAGTCCAGGATGCACTTTATTTGTATAAGAAATGCAGAAGATGCTCTCCATCATTCTCCTTTGACTGACTTCTGATATTAAGGAAGTCTGTAGGTCCAGGAATATAAGTAAATATTGTGTAGCCTGTAAAAAGAATTTCTGAAATGTGGATTGCTGTGACATAAACTGAACACAGAGATATAGCAGAGGGCATTGACTTCATGGTCATGATAGAACTGTAATTCAGAGTAATCAGGTGCAATTAAGGCTGTCTGACTACCTACGTGTATAGCTGATAGCCTGCTTACGTGATTTCTGGTTGGAAATTCCCATCTCCTGCTAGCTGCTAATATGTGGGTCTCATTAATGATCTGTATTTCTCTGCTCTTTTCCCACTTCTGCTTCTTTTTCCACTTTTTTTTCATATTTAATGTTTTGTCTTTTAAGCTTCGAAACCAGCACAGCTTGTTTCATGTGTTATCTCAAACAACTTATGTCTTGCTTCTTTTTTTTTGTTTGTTTAATTTGTGCTATATTCCCTTACTTGAGTGTCATTGAGAAGGTAAAGTGGAGGAAGTAACAACAAAATGAGGGATTTGCCAGCAAGAAGTAGTACAATGGAGCTTAACCTTCAACTTCTTAATGTCTGAGCAGTGATCAGTGTCTGTTTATGGAAATAAAAATAGCCTTTGAAGTTAAATTCAGAGACTAATGTAGTCCTTTCCCATGAGACTGAAAGTGACCAGTAGCAGGTTTAACATAATGGGATTCTCTTCACAGATAATTACGGAATAAGGTGTATGTAAGAGGTTTGTTTGTTTGTTTCTTTTTCTTTGCCACTGGCAGTGCTTGAGTTATTCTGTAAGAAGGAATGGTATATAAACTTTCTTTAAAATGTTCTGGCTAATGTGACTGGACATGCTTGGACATTTTTCCCTTTCTTTTTATAAATAAAAAAAGCTCTAATCCTTTTCTGATCCCTTTACCGTAATGTATTCCTGTAATCATTCTGTTTGTTTTCTACAGGGTAATTTTCCACTACATGTAAAAGCTCTTCCCGTTAAAGGCTTTGCAGTTTTGTGTCTCTAAAGTTTCACTGCAAGTCCTCTTGTTCTTGCTTTACAAAACAGGAGGTATAGTCGCACCTGACTGATTTGCTTTGTTCTGTTCATTGCTGTACATGTGTGACTTGCTTCCTCTTAAATGTCTGTAAATCAAACAGTCCTAATCTTTTCAGCTTCTCCACGCAAAGGAGCCTCTTTGCTTATGATTGTGTTCACTGATCATCTCTGATTTTCTTCCATTTTTGTTAAGGTTTTTGAGTAACTAACAAGATCTTACTGCACTATGGGAGGTTTGTCATTGAAGGATGTAATAGAATTCAATAGAGAAAATATCACAGTATTATGTATATTCTTTCATTCCCTTGTTTTCTCTTTTTTTTTTTTTTTTAAACAGTATGAAAAAATTAATGAGATACAAGTTAATTAACAGTCCTATTAATACAAAACTTCCAGAGCCCTGTATTTTCCTCTGGATCGAGTCCTAGTACAAGATTTAACAGCAGGGTCTATATCTCTTAAAACTTTTCACATGATGCTGTGTATTGATTTCCCTTATTAGCATCATTCTGCCTTAGGAGGGCAGGCAGTTTATTAGCACTATCTTCCTCCTTCAGGGTTCGTGTGAAAGCCTTGTTATTACCAATGAAAGTAGCATGAGCATGTTGGCCTTACGCTGCCGTAGCTGCTGTCCAGAGTCTTCCTGCTTTGGGAAGTTCTTTAATTTGTGTTAATCGCTTTCGGCTCCTCTGTAGCTTGCTCTTCTCTGAAGGGTTATGCAGGCATAAAGGTCTCTGTCATCTTTCTTTCTCTGTGGCAGAGATTTCTTTGTCTGCTCTCCCTTTGAAAAAGCTTTTTGCTGATGGAGTACTCTCCATGCTTTGTCATCTGCTTAGCATGTCCTTAATTTGGTGAGACAGACTCTTACAACTGCAGGAAGGTTATATTTAGGTTTTGTGCCTGGTGCATGTGAGCACTGTGCTTGATTAGTTACATTTATTTTTTTTTCCTTTGTTGTCAGGTATTACTTTAAAATTGATTTTTTTCTCTTGCTAGCCTGCCTGCGTTCTCCTCAGACCTGCTGCAGAGTGCCAGGGGTACAGTTTCAAATTTTGCATTTGAGCCAGTAGAAGATGATCAAAATACGCACAGGACTCTGATTATATTCTGCATCTTTGGAGCACAATATTGGACACCTGAGCACAGACCTTGGTGTTCCAGATTTCTCAGCATAAGTCTTACAAAAACTCCCTGTGTACCTTCCGGGAGTCCCTTAGCTTCATTAAGTTGGGGGCATCGGGGTGGTAGGATGGCAGTCCTGTTTGGGTGAGGTAGGCCAGTGCTCATCACAAAGATGAGGCAGAAAGGGTAATCCAGCCATGTGTTATTTTTCTCCATGAAGTTACTGCAAAGAGACAGAACATTGTAGAGTGACTGTTAGTGAACATGCCTGGGTGAAGTCCTTTAGAGACCTTGAAAAGCCCCGTTTTCCATTCGTCTGGTGAACTTGAGGATGGATCTGTGACTTGGCTGAGAAAGGAGTCTGTCAGTGCCGTGACCAGGAGAAGCTCTGTGAGGGACTCTCAGAGTTCTTATGAATCTCAAAGTGCTTTCGTGTGTCTCCATCATGAGTGAATCCTGTAGCCTGCATTTCTGTGCATCTCTTAATTGGTAGAAAAGGTGAGGAATTCATACCTGCATCTCTTGGATGCAGCATTCAGGTTTATGGTGTCATTGAGAAGTTTTCATGGTGTCTACATTACTGTAATTCACAGGAGGTGGTGTCACATTTTGTAGTTGGTAGCTGCACGGCAGGGCCTTTGTCTGTGCATGCTGTACAAACATCAGGGCTGCAGTAATGCTCAATAATTCACATACATAGCAACCATTGGCATTCTTCCCATCTAGAAGAGGTGGGACATGGAGAAATGACGTGCGAGAACACTGCATAATATAAGCTAGCATCTCATTCAGTAATTGCTTGTGTATTTTATTAACTTTTTTTAAATTGAATTTCTAATTACAGAATTCTGTCTACTAGATGAACAGCAAGGAGGTTTTGAAAAAGAGAGCACAGAAGGCTCAACTTATCCCCATTCGGCACTGTTCAGAGATACTTCATTTCTCTATCAGCCAGATGCTGTTGATAATGAGATGTACTCTGCGGCTAAAAACCTCATTCCTAGTGATGCTTCTTTAAGTGTATTGAAACAAGGTATTACCAGAAATGCTTCATGTGATTACGTTACAGTGAGTCAAGCAACATGATAGGAGGAAATAATCTGGTACAATAGCACGTAAGAAATTATGTTAATTCATTTTAATAGCACTTACCAGGAACTCTTGGGGGAATGCACTGAAAGAGTAGAAGAATTTACTTGTGCAGTAAGTATACGCAGTGGGCTGTTCCCTAGGAGCATCCCAAATCCCTTTGTCATAAATATGATCTTACAAAATCAGGTTTTTATGCCAGTTCTGTTACATTCCAGATAAGCTCTGTAAGATTAGTGATGATTTATGGCTTTCATTCAAAAAGTGTTGCTGAAAATATTTTTTGTGATTTGGAAAATACTCTGAGTAAAGCTTCTCAGTTAAAGGTTATTTTAGATCTCAAAAATTACAAAGATATCTCCTCTGCCTTCACTTAGCCTCATTATTTTCTGAGAAACTTTATAGAAATCTTCGGTATCAGCTAAGGCTGATGAAATGAAAATGTAGTTTAAATGGAAGTTTGCAAATTGGTATAATGGGCCAGGCACATTGTAGGAATGTGGAAGGAAGGGGCAGGATTGTCACTGGAGGAATGAAAAAAGGGAAAACAAATCAAGGCCTCAGAACACACAGTACTTTTCATCAATTCTTGGTAGAGTTCTTGCAGCTGGTTCCATAGATTATCTGTGACCAAAACAGATATTTTGTTGTCCTAAAATAAATTGTGTCGTTCTCCGATGTAGGCTTTTTTGAAAGGAATAACTGTGTGTCCACATGTATATAAAAAACACGTACTTGTGAAAGAATGGTATGCCACTGTTTTGTTTTTTGTTGTAGCTTGGCACACCTTTGGGCCTTTCTTGCTTAAAGGGATTGGAGGTTTCTTTTAATTAATTAACCTGAACTATCTCATGGGAAAAAAAAAAACTGAAAAAATTGTTTCTATTAAAGCAATTTAAAATAGGTTTCCTCTTCTGTTATTTGTATAGACAGTCATACAATTGTGTCAGGTACAAAAAATATCCGCCTTTGGCTGGGCTTTTTTTTTTTCTTTTTTTCTCCCATTAAGTAATTTTTAGATATAAAAGGCATCTTTAAAGAGAGCATGTTTCTTGACCAGACTGACATGAAGGGAAATTTCTTGTAAACAAGGTTAAGAATGCGTGCATGACCGTATTTTTGGAATGTGGAAAAACACATTCCAACCATCCAGTTGGCATTATTGACTTGAAAACATATTTTCTTTTAGCAGAGTGGTAATTTGATGTCACAAAACATTTTGTTTTAGTGTCATAGTTGAATTGTGGGGAAAGAAGTGCCCTGAACATTCTTGTGCTTCTGTTATATATATTGTAATGGATTCAATATTTCAATGAAGAAGAGATTTTTGTCCTGATTTTTCTAATAGTCAGGGGTGAAGGGTTGTCATTTTTTGATGCGCCTGATGAAATACAAGGACAATAACGATTTAAGATTATAGTCAGGGGTGAAGGGTTGTCATTTTTTTGATGCACCTGATGAAATACAAGGACAATAACAATTTAAGATCGCAATAGGATCTTTTAGTTCTGTGTGTGGACTCATACCATTGACTTTTGTAATTTATATTAACCCACAGATTAAGAAGTAAAGTTATGAGCAGAAATCTTCATTCTGCCTTATAAATGAACATTCGCTGGAGGTGAACTTTCAAGTGAGAAACTAAATATATGGTTAGTTCAGTTAACGTTAAAATACTGACTTCTAAAATATTAAAAATATGAACACCAAACGTTGGTCCTTGGTAGCTGTTCGTCCTTCTTAGAATTTTCGTTGATGCTTCATTGGCTCATTAGGGAAATATAATCAGACGCGTTCCAACCTTGCATTGTAACTTGTGCTGATGGAAATCAGGATGTCAAAATGTGGTAATAAATGAGCTCATGAAACACATAGCAAAAATGTTAACTGTTTTTACTGGCATTTGTGTAGAAATACTTAGTTTTGCTTTTTACTGCTTTCTTGGGAAAGATCTGTCACGGTTGAAGCCTCAGTTCCAGCCCTTTGTGAAGCTGCCGAAAGACAAGCAAAGAGCTTTATATAAAACCCTTTGTGAACTCTTGCTCCATGAAGAAATGGTAACTGCCCTGGAGGACGTGGTAAGATGAAGCTTTTGCTTGCTTCCTAAAAGTAATTTCAGAATAGAGCTGGCATTCTATTTTGCTTGAACTTTTCTCTTTTCAAGAAGTTTTACTTATTCTTTTGCTTCCAGTTAGATGACATCTGCACAGGAGACAAGCCAGATCTGAAGGAGTTAAAGCCTGCACAACAAGGAAAGCTCATTGACTTCTTGCAGCTCTTAGGGTGCAGTTTAGAGAGTGAGCTGTTGCAGAAATATCAGCCTCAGGATGAAGAACTCTTCTCAGCTGCTCACCTCCTCATCAGTGCTATCTCTGGTATGTTGTGAATGAAGAGAAGAGCTTGCTTTTTTTAACTTTCCTTTTAGAAGCTCCATCTGTGTTAAAGCATTTATGACTCTTTTTGAGCAGTTGGTGAGCTGAGTGAACATAATTTGTTCTATTCCTTTTTATGGGTTTTGTATACCATGCTTAGCATTCCTGGCTGTGAATTAAATTCAGCCCTCAATCACTGACAAATTTTGCTTGTAAAATACACATTCCCCCGAGATTGCTCAACTCCTCTTTCTGCTGAGAGTGGGCATTTCCAGTTTGGCAACCTAATTTCTGTTCTTATTGCATATCAGAATTCTTCCCGCCTAAACGCTGAGAATTACAAATTAGGTGTCGTCTTCAGTGTAACAGCATTTATTGTTGAGGTGCAAACGATATTTAGCAAAAATTAATTTAAGATAGAGACACTGCAATTAGAGGGTTGTTTTGCAGCTGCTGAAAAAGGAGATTAAACATAAATGTCAAACAAATGCCATGTTCACAATCTAGTTGGCACCACAGTGTTAATTAAAAGCTACCTGCAAAGTCCAAGACAGACGCCTTCCTGTTTTTTTCTCCTCTCTCTCGTATATAAAAAATTTCCTGACATGAAGATAACGAAGGGAAGTCCAGTGTGGTATTAGTTAGATGTGGCACCGTGCAGCAAAATGTCAGCATGCAGCCATATATGCAGGTAGGAAAGCTTAACTCATTTGCAGAGACAGAAAAGAAATAGCAAACAGAAACCTGCTGATGTGGTAACACTTGTCAGTTGCTGTTAACAGCAGGGTGCAGTTAATTGAGTGTGTTGCATTATCACCTGGGTTTGGACATAATGTCTACTGCTAATGTCCAGGCGTCAGTGTAGCTGGATCAAGAATCAAAAGCTGGTTTATGCCTGTTGCTTCTATTAGGAATTACAGCCGTGAGTTACAGAGTTGAAGGGCACAGCAGGGATCATTTAGTCCATCTCCCTGCCCCAAGGCAGTCTCAGCTATGTCATTCCTCTCAAATTGTGTTTTTGCTGAAGTCAGCATCTGATAGATTTTTGAGAGCGGAGGTGGTTCTTTTATTCAAGGCCTAAATCATTTATCCAGCCCGCAGACTCGGAGTGAAACACTGGGGAGATACTTGGGGAGGAGGATGGGGAGGAAATCCCCTTTCCTATGAGCTGCCTTTTTTTTAAGGGCAGGGATAGTCAGTGTGGGGCTTGTACCTGTTGCCTATCCCATTTTATTCTGCCCTCTGGGAAGCAGGCAGGAAAGAACTGGATCAGCCTCTTCCAACCGTCCAGCAGAGCACCCATGACATCTGTCCTCAGCAGTGAATCACTTTGGTCTCCAGTGTCCATTTCGCCAGGTGCTGTACCTGCAGATGGGCCTCAAAAGTGCAGCTTGTCTGGTTTTGCTCAGCAGGAGAACCCCATAGCAGAGCTCACTGTTAAGAAAGTCGCCTATCCGGCAGCCAGCCTCGTGCATTGTTCACTGGAAACGATTTTTCCCTTTTAACATTTCCTTCACAGAGCTGTCTGATTATACTCTTGTCCTGCTGCGTGCCTGCTGTGATCTTCAGGTTGTTCCGGCATTGTGTTGTTTGGTGAGTAATCAAAATGTGACTGTGTAGCCTGTGGGCCCCAGGAGCAGTAATGACTGCGTTCCCTGCCTTGCCGTGTTTCTCACTCAATAAAGAAGATGTCAAGCTCCAGTGCAAATTTCAGCTGTGGGCATTGCTTAGGCAAGGTCAGAGTCTGACAGTGGCAAACGATGCAGGTAATTTGTTGCAGGTGGATACCAAACTTCTAAAACATTTCTGTATTTGGGAGACTTCATGGGCTGCCGCAAAAGAAAATTGTAGCTAAAGTTCAAATTTTAATTTAATAATTGTCTCACTAGCCCATTTAAAGTCTCAGTAACAGTAATCACCTGCCCCTGGGGAAAAAAAATTTCAGTTTGATAGCAGCAGGGCTGGGGCCTTGGGAAATTCTGAAGTTCCAAAACTCTGAGGCCATTCATTAAAACTGCTGAAGGAATGGGGCAGGGCTTTTTTTTTTTGAGCTCACTGACAAAAATAATAGTAGAAACCTTTAAATATGTACGGACAAGGGGAGTGCTACTGTTTGCTCAGAGTAGGAGTGAGTGCTAAGTGTGATCTGCAGTGAGAGAGGTTGAACTGGGGGAAAGGACACAGTAGGAGAGCTGTTTCTCCTTAAAGGGTGCCATAGAGCTTTGGTTCTGGATGAGTACGTTGTACTTGTCAAGGCTCATAGTAAAGGGAACCTTGCCCTTTTGCCGCTGCCTTGTAAGCTCTCGGGCGGTTTCATAAGACAGAACTGAGCTCTGCAATGGCAGGAACAGCACTGCTTGGAAAACCTTTTTAATGTCTCTGTCTTTTGCTCTCTCTCATAAATGCAGCCTGACGTCACTTCAGCCGATGGCACTGTGGCACTGAGCAGTCCTTCGGTGGCTACTCTCACTGACAGAGGAAGATTTGATGTCGTGCAAAGGCTGTTTGCTTCATCAAACATTAACCTGGAAATGACAGAGTCTTCTGTAAAAGCTGTAACTATGAAAGAACCTAGATTCTTCCCACTTGTTCTTTATGTTGCATTGTATGGATTTTATGCTTTAGGTGGGAATGTATAGGAGCTTTGCCAAGTACCCAGTTATTGCTCTAGCCTGTTCTTTCTTCTGTAGCTCTGCAGAGTATCGTTGGTGTGTAGAGCCACTCGGTTGCGTACTTACGGCAGTCCAGCCAGGCATTACAGAGGTCAGGGTGGACTCGACGTGCTGGGGGTAAACGCTCTGTCCTGCCTTCGTGTCTGCTACAGCTCTGCAGTTTCACTAAGGTATTTGTGTCTGCCGTGGGAAATACATAAATAAGGGACAAAGGGGAGGAATTAAAAAAGACAAGCCCCAAACAGAAATTGAACGTAGCTCTTATGGTAGTTGTCAGATCTGCAGGGCAGTAGAAGCCGGATTGCTTGCATTAATATGCGTGGGAGGGAACTGCAAAGTACAAACTGCTTTTTGTAAGCAAGGAAGCAGGCAAGCAGGCTGTGGAAATCCAGGATTCTGCAATGCAGTGCATGTTTTGCTCATTTAAGCCTTGATGTGCAGAATGTCTTCGCTGTGGAGCAAGTGGAATGGAGGGCTCTCAAAGAGGTACTTGAGGTTTTCATTTATTAAGTGTAGTTTGGCTTTACGGATGTGAACTGCACACTGCAGGAAATAAAAACCCCTTGTTTTCAAAACCTAAGACAACCTTAAGGATTTACACCTCTGTACAGCATTTCTGTTTTCTAATAAGTTTTTACTCACCTTAGCACGTTTCAGTTGTTTAAATTGCATTCTGAACTTTCTCTCTGAGGCACGGTGATGCCTCTTGGTGTGTGTGCACAGGAAGTGTCCCTGCTGCACTCCACAAAAATGATCGTTTTCCCCAGACGTTTTGTTTGTTTCTTTGACTAACAGCAAAGTGTTAGTAAAGCACTTTGTGCTTTGAACTGTTTTGCCTTTTTTTATCGTAAATTTTTGTAATCATGTGGATGGGACAGAAATGCAGCAGAGATCACTGTAAATATGGGCTTGGGAAGATGATGTTCCAGGTTGGTGGAGTATCAGTGCTTTCAGATGAGATGGTGAGGTAGTTGACTGACAAACCAGGCACCTGTGTGCGTGGGGGGTGATCAGTAACCAGGCCCTGCTGCTTCGCTACTGGGGAGGAGTCCTGGCTTCAGATTTCTGCTCTATTCCCTCATGGTCTTGAGCAGATTGTCTAAGAGGTCTTTAAAAACTCCTGTCAGTTAAGCTTTCCCTGAGGAAGTGGACTTTGCAGAAAAGCACCATGGTACCTTTCCATGCCCTGAGAGCACAGGATAGCCTTGCACGCCAAGCTGTTGGCGTTTCTGTGTCTCATCTCTGAAATGAAGCTGGTGGTGTTGCCTGAACCTTGCAGTGTTGTATGTGGAAATGCCCTTCAGGAGGATGGAAGCATGTTACGCTGCGTCGGGGAGTGATGTGCGTTTGTAAATGGGAAAGTCATCTTTTGCCAATCACTACTCAAAAGTTGCCTCTGTAACTAACTAATTTATCCAAACTTTCTAATAAATGTTATGTCAAAACAATAGAATAACTTACAACCTCATGCATGTCATTTCCATCGTTCTTCTTTTTGGGATTCCAGTCGCACACTTGGCCTTGAAAGGTGGTGCACGCAGATGGCAAGTGGGTATGTGGGCATCCACATAGTGCCCTGTCCGTGTGCTCTGATCTTCCTTGTAGAGTTTTGGTGTAAGCCTTAGGCGCGCTATGCTGCATAACTGCTTTCAGGGTGTGCATGCCGTGTCATCTGTGTAGGAGAGGGGATTTGTTGAAAGGGGGGTGGGGGTGGGGAAGCCAGAGGCTAGGTGTTCTTTAGAAACATCATTAAAAAAAGGAAAGGTTTTGTTTCTGCTGTTTTGCTTTCAGATGGAGATTAGTCTTTTGCTTCAGCTAAATCCACTGAACAGGTCCAGGCTGAGGAGTGTAGCGGTTGCTGACAGAGCCAAGGTGGGGGCAGCGGAGGGGCTGGCAGTGTTTGTGGTACTGGCTTGAAGCCAGAGGCTAGGTGTTCTTTAGAAACATCATTAAAAAAAGGAAAGGTTTTGTTTCTGCTGTTTTGCTTTCAGATGGAGATTAGTCTTTTGCTTCAGCTAAATCCACTGAACAGGTCCAGGCTGAGGAGTGTAGCGGTTGCTGACAGAGCCAAGGTGGGGGCAGCGGAGGGGCTGGCAGTGTTTGTGGTACTGGCTTGGCTGACAGTAACGACAGCCCAGGAGGGTGAAGGTACCGTGCGGTCTTGTAACCCTCAGGTGGGTGGGAGCTCAGGGAAGTGTTGCATGAGGCACCACTGCTGCGAGGCCGCATTTCTGTGTGGTACCCCACCTCCTGCGCAGGCCCAGCACCCCTGCCCTGTGCCTGAGGTGGGAGCAGGGGAGGGGGCAGATGCCCAGAAAGGAGGGGTTGCAAGGGTGGCAGCACCGGGGCCTCTGCTGAGGGGGACAGAGGCAGGAGTCGGGGCAGCCTTGGACTCGCGCAACATGAGAGACTTTGGGCAAACAGCGGTGTGCCCCAGAGACCCCACGCTTCTACCAGTCATCCAGATCGTTTGGGTCTCTTGGCTCCTTGCCTCATCTGCTGCCGTACCTTTAGGATTGATCAGTGTGTCTGCAGAAGTCATTGGCTGCACTTCAGTCTTGGCTTTTGTTCTTTTATGTGCTCTTTGCGCGCGTTTCCCAGCTGTCCTCCATTTGGCAGCACTTCTGTGACCACAGAGACACCTCTAGACCAGCAGGTAGCCCAGCGCTGGCCTTTCTAGAACTGAGTGAACAGCACAGCTGGGGGAAAAATGAAACACTAAGGCAGGTGATATGTTCATTGTTTTCTCTCCAGTTCCTTCTTCCACACTCTTGAAAGCAGGATCCTTATGCACATTAATATTAATATAAAAATATGAAGATCCAAGGGAGCAGCAGAAGCAATATGTCTGTCTCCACGTAACTCTTGTCCTGTGCGTCCCTAAGCTAAATGAGGATAGCCTCTTCAGGGACCCGGCCTGAGCTGCACTGATGCAAATTAATTCCGAATCCACTTTAGAAGAGCTGGATGTGCATCCACTACATCTTTGATAAAATGGTGATTTCTTGTGGCAGGCTGGCCTCATACAGAAACTGCTTTTCAAGGTTAGATAATGTCTTCCCTAGAAAACGGAGGTGGTAAAAGGGCTGTAGGGTCCATCAGAGAAGGTTGGAGCTGGTCTCATAAAAGGTTTGATTTCCCACCCTGACTTCCCTCCCCAAAATGTTGCTTCCCTTTGCTGCACTTCTGCGTTCCCCAAGAGGAAAGGGGAAGAAACCACACCTTTGCAGTTCAGAAACTCATCATGACCAGGGAAGATGAGGTCAGCAGCCTCTTCTCAAGAAGCATGCGCCATCTCCAGCGGCCAGCAGGCTCAGCCTTGCTGTCAGTAACTGGCACTTGCCTCCTACAAGCTGCAGTCCCCAGTCCCTTGGGCTTTTGCACGCTGGCTAAGGGCAGCGCAGGCCCAGGAGAATGAGTCCCTTAATGCTGTGGGGCTCAGAAAATAAGGAGCTGCAATTCAGCAATTATGACATTTATAGGATGGCTGAAGAGGCCCCAAGAGCTCTATAATCCAAAAGAGGATTCAGCACATTCAAGAAGATGAAGCTAAACAAGACCAACTGGAAAGTTGCTTTTCTGCCCTTTGAGCACCACACGAGACCCAAACAGGCTGCACAAGCCACGTGCACACCCCTGAACCCGGCTACCCTTAAAACAGCCCAAAGCAGCAGACCAAGCGCAAAGCGCAGTCTGTGCAGAGGAGCTGGTCGGCGTCGTGTTGGCTACTACCATGCTAACACAGTAGTGTACTAACGGGAAAGGGTCTGTTCAGCAGTAAAGGACTAGGGGAAGGCAAAAGGCAGATGTGCACAGATTGCTTCTTGATAGTTTACTTGGCTAAAATTAAGAGTATGACCAAAAAAATCAGAAAAAAGCTAATTACATTTTTTTCAATATTAAATCTTTATTATATACAAAAATATTTTGTTGGGAATTAACAGAATTTCACAATTTGTACATTAACATTTTTATGTTTGGCTGTGTTTATTGTGAAAATATTAGCTGTGAAAAACACAAGGGGAGGGGTTTAAAAAAAGTCACAATTTAAAAATGCCCTATGTCTTAGCTGACTTCATCAGTATGAAGTCAGAACGCTAACAAGTCCCATCTCCTAGGCCTGCTCTACAGTATTGTATTCAAACAGCAACTAGGTACTGAATCTTCTTCACGTTTACATTAGAAAGTTTAGCTAATAGTTAGGATTTTTTTTTTGTAGGATGTTTTCAGCTAAAGGAAGAGGTTTTTTTTACAGGAGAGCAGTTTTTAAAGTTTTACAAATGTCAAATCCAGTTTAATTCAATATGCTGTAGAAGAAAATTTAAAAAAACCACCACGAGAGCTTCCAACAGGCAAAAACAGTTGTGAGAAGAAGCAAGGTGAGGAAATGCACGGTGCCAGACTTCTAATAATATACATTTACATCCAAACACTTAACCAAGATTTTACAGTTCTTAGCCCAGTTTGGGGTGGGAGAGCGGCAAACGTCCTTGTATCTGAAAACCTACGGAAGTGGTCCCCCTTCTCATACCGCAGCACACCCGTGTTACACCCAGGCAATATGCAGTGAGGGGTCAGGGAGGGGAAGGAAAGCACAGCGTGCATTTTCAAAGGGGTAAAAAATACATTTCAACAGTTACCTCCATATATAATTGGGTACAAGACCTAAACTAACAAAAATAAGTCAAAAAAAATTATTTTTTTTTTTTTTTTGCAGCCAGCCATTTTGCTGCCATCCCCGGCACTGTAGAAGGCAGTGCCATGCGCTTTGCTCTACGCTATGTGTCATGTAAGAGGTCAAATAACAGAGGAGTTACTTGGGGTTTTGGGAGAGGTTTCACTGCACTCCAGGTAAATGCTGGCTGCTGATGGAGTAACACTTGGATCAGCTGTGAGGGCAGCCAGACTCGCATGTGCAAGTGTTTGTGCGGAGCTAATGACATGAAAAGGAAAAGGATAAATGGGAGAAAGGGTTTCCAGGACTACTTCAGCTACCTTAGCCTGGCAGGCTGGTCCTAAGTATTCCACATCCAGCCCCGGCCTTAGCAGCAAAAGGAACGCCATACTCAACTAGTGTTAGAAAGGGTTAAAAATACTGAGAACGAAATTCACATTTACTTCAAGTGTAATTTATTCTATAAAATATAAGTATTGCTGAGATCCTGCTGGGGGAAAAAAAAAAAAAAAATCTACTTGGAGGTGAAACAGCTTCACAGCCTTCACCAAGCTGGAGCTTGTTCTTAAGCCTGTACAGGTAAATTCCAGCTGCAGTACCAGCAAATGAACTGAGGATGCAGCAGTTTAAAATGTGATGGTTAGTGGTGGAACAGTATCCCAGCCTGGAGAATTCAGGTAAGTGAGCAGAGACAGTCTGAATTACTTGTGGTACTTACTTACCCCTAAGGTTTATTTATTTATATATGTATGTGTGTGTCTGCGTGCACATGAGCGCACTTTTACTATGTTTGAAAGCCAAAGCTGCCTCTGAAAATTGGTTATTTTACAAGTGTTTTCACTTTAAATAAAAAAAAAAGTATCTGGCTTGGAACTAAACCCAGTAAGTTATACCAGCCTTAAAATCTGATGTTTATATTGCCCACTATCCTCTACAAGACACAAATTGAGACACCCAAACAATTCCTAGCAGCAAGCTTGTTAACAGACATGAAAACCAAGACAGGTAGGCCAAGAAAAGAAACCCAGCAAAAAGCCAGTTGGGCCAGGACTTCACGTGAGTACTGGCAGCCTACCAGAGAAAGCAAATCAAAATACCTTTAACTGCTGCAGTCCCTGTGATGGCCCAGGAGAGGCTGTGCGCAGGGACTGGAGCTGGAGGGGTATTTAAGGCACAAGGCCTAGCAGACCACAAGTCTTTGTCGTAATAACCACTACCTAGACATCAATTTTGCAAAAGTAGCATCATGAAGTTTGGCAATAACAATGTGGTACTTTAACGCTTCAGACTTTGGGTGAAGCAAATAGTCCGTGCATGTTTGCATGACAGATGCAGCAGACCTCCACCTGTAGTTTGTCCTAAAGCTGTAGCTACAGGCAGTAAGCGACGGGGAATCTACTGCAGTAGGCACTATAGATGTGTGGAGAAACAGCATCTGCCTCAAGAAGCAAGACAGAGGAAGCCTGGATGGGAAACCAAGGAATAGGTAAAGGGAGTTTGAATTTGTTTATGTTGACAGTAACAGCTCATGTGTACAGAGAGGTAATAACCCACATCTCCTGACTTGTGGAGCGGTGCTCAACTTGATCATTCTCCACTGGTCCTTAAGCATAGCAGAGCAGCAAGCTTGGCTCCAAAGGGGACCTCACCAGGAATTTTCTGTGTTTCAAAGAGAAAAAAGTTTGCTATTTCCTACCTGAATCACCCTCTTCAAAACTAGAACAAAACCCAGATGACTTCCTGAACACTGAGCTGTAGGCAATTAGTACAGGAAGTCATTTAGGTATGATTTTAGAAGATGCAATAAGTTAGAATTTTACAGCGGACTGGGAAAAAAGTGTCACATTTTGAGCCCATCCAAAATGTGACGGTTTACATAAACACACATTCAACAGTGAAGAGCTGACCTGCCATCCTGCTCCGCAAAGCTTTTGTACAACTAAATACATAGAGCTGCACTGATCGGAGAACACGGCACAAGTTAAGGGTACAGCATTGGTTACAAATTCAGTTTCCCTTGCCTACCTCGGTCTGTGATTCTGCTCCAATTTTACCTTCATTTTATATTTGCAGACCTTTACAAATCTATGCAAGATGACCTATCCCACTATAATTATCCCACTAAACTTCAATTGACTGCATCTTGTCAGACGATGTAGAACCTAAAGTAGACCTGCTAATGTAATGTTGAGAGACAGCAAGGTAATCACTTGGGTACACACGCACCAAAGTATTTACATTAAAGTTGAGATTGGTGCACAGCTAAGGGAAGTTTTGGTGCATTTAAGGAAATAACTTACGGGTCTTGGCATACTGACTGTACTTTTATGTATAACTTTTCATTCACATGGCAACTACAGTGTTTCTTCTATACGTGTCTATATGTACAGAATTTTACAGCACCTCATGCACTGTCCAAAACAGATAGAAATTACAGATAAATATAGAATTTTTAGATTGAAATATCTGTATATTTAGAAAAATATACATTAGTAAACACAATAAACCAGGTAGAGAAGTGTACCAGTTCTAAAGTCTCACATGCAGGTACATTTCTGGATTAAGTCATGGAAGCTTAGTAATGTGATAGCAGACGTGAGCATTTTTTGTTTTACCATCCACATACATACATATACACAGACAACTATTTGATAATTTACTTTTCTAAACTACTTTAAATATTTATCTTGTGATACATACCACATATCTTAAACATTTAGCAGCATCTTCACCTCGCTCAGACACACATATTGTTATCACTAACAGTCAATGTAAAAAGTTTTCCCGTTAGTATCTGGAAAAAATGTTTAGTACAGAATGAGACACACAAAATCCTAGTTATTTTAACTCCTCCAAAATACTTCTAACAGCTGTTGTATGAAATATTTTCGCTTGTTCAAAACTAGCCTTTCATTGTGTCTTTCTCCCCTAATTGCACAATGTACAGGTCTCTGT